TGAGACATGCATGTCTCTATTTATTTGAATGATGGTGGATTGGAAACTTGTCTTATCAGTTAGGAAGTCTACTAAATAACCAGAACTGAAAATTTTGTTGTTTTTTTTACTCTCATTTAATGTCTGATACGACCCAGCTCGCTTGGGGTGAGGGAAGTAACTAAAAAACAAACAAACAAAACAAGAAAAACAAGATGTTAAATGGAATAAATTAAATTATGTTTAATTAACAGGAATGTAAAAAGTAAATTAACAAAACAGACTAAAATATACAGAGAATACTCTAAACTAAGAGTTTTCTAAACTATACAACTAGACACACACAAACACAATGGCAGACTGGCTACCAAGGTCAGCAGTCCCGAACAGGCGATGGCAATGTTCTTAAATAGGGGGAGGAGCCTGGAGGTGAGGCAGGATTGGCCAGGTGTAAAGGTACTCCACCAATCACAAACAAGGGCTCCCACAGCAGGATCTAGGACAGACAGCAAAATAATTAAAAACACACAAAACAAATTAGAACAGAAGGCCTGGGGTTGTAACAATGTCATATTGAGAGAAAATCAGATTGCTCTGAGACCTTGCCCATTAGTAGTACTGAGAGCAATCGGCTAGGGGCCCTAAGCACCTGCCTACTTTTGCCTAATGGTAGCGCCGCCTCTGATTATACCATTAGCAGCGGTGTTTTTTTCTTTCTTCACAACAGTTCAACAGGTAGATTTGGGTGTCTGTAGTTTCTAACCTGCTGAAGTTTCACAGTCATTGTTAAGAATACAGATTTATGAAGTATAGTCAGATGTCAGGAAGGTATGTACTCGCATGTGCTTTACGACTGTGTGGCTGTGAAAGTGTGAAGAGACCAGATCCTCAAAGTGCTCTCACCTGCTACAATTCTCCACTGTCACTGGATTTACGGTCCAGACCTGTTTTATCTCAAGCTGGAGATGTTTTTCATTCACCTTTGTTCATGTTAACCACACACCCTCATGTTTAAGTGTGAGTCACCATAGAAGTACTTTGAAAATCTTTTTATATGGCAGCCACCAAGAAGGCTGCAGTATTTCTGTTATCATTCATTCAGTAGGCTGTGTTTTCCATATTTTTTTTTCCATGTATTTGAGCAATATTTGTCCTTCCCCAGTACAGATTTATTGTATAAGAAGAGTTGTAAAGTGTTTTATTGTCTAATAATCAGGAAGTGTGTGTTTAGCATGCATAAAAATGAACTATAGAGCTCTGGACCCCACGTGACTCACGGTGGGCGGGCCGCCATTTTGGCAGTAAAAATGGATAGCGCCACCGCTGAAGCTTTCAAGCCATCGGAGTACTCAGGTCACTTTAATTCACAAGACATTGAGCTTTAGATCAAAATTAAATGGATTAAACATTATGACCGTATAATGCCCCGGGGGTGTTTTTAAAAAATATTTCCGCTGAAGAAGACGTCCCAGATCCGCAGTACATCGCCAAACGAACCAAAATTGGTCCGATTGACATGCCTCTGTTTCCTGGTAGAACAGCAATACCTCCAATTATCAACACCGATGTTCCCTGTTAAGACCACGGGACATCCTCGTCTCAAGAGTCATCATGAACTCGTAAAACACAAAAGCACGGGTAACAGCAGCAGCAACAGCAATAAAGAGGAGCACTCACCGGTCACCGCAGCTCAGATCCCTCAGGACGGGGTCTGCAGTCTGGTCCTTGGTCTGGTCCTCCGAGCGCGTTGGTCAGATGGTCCGGAGGCTCCGTCCTCCATGTGCTGGTTCCAGACCAGTGCTTGATGGACTGGGTCTGAGCCGTTCCGTGTCATCGTCTGCACGCTGGTTCCATGCGGGAAAAGCGAGAATGCACTGTGGACTACAGGTCTGGATGGGCCACTCTGGTCCTCCACGCTCAAGAACTGCGGCTGGTCCCGAGGTGATGCAAAGCATCCGGACAGGCGTGAATCCAGTTTGGTGGGTTATATGTTGTTCTGAGCGTCCGACCTCCGCGCTCTTGGTTCCTGGGGAACGTTCTTGTCAGGCCAAGGCTCCTGACACCACTCCCCACTCCAGCTCCTCTGGTTTGGATCTAGTCCGACTGTAGCATTTCTCACACTAGGCTAAAAGCAGGACATTTTTAAAGTTGAATCAATTGAATATGGCTATTGCCATAAAATTATTTGGTTAATTATAAGCCTAAAATAACAAATGCTGGTTGCTACTTTGGAGCCACACGTTCGCACATTGGTTCTTGCTCTGATCTTTGTGTATTACTTATCTGTATTGGAAAATTGTTGGCAAAATAATTCGGAAATGAATCGCGGCTGCGTCTGGAGAACAATCTGTTATTGCGCTGGAGTCGTACAGCGCGAGTCAGCCGATCTGCCGATTACTGCCAAAATGGCGACACCTTTAAATTAAAGGTGCTCAAAATGAATGAACTTGTCTAAATCATAAGCTATACTTTTGTACTGTAACATGTGATACAGACCTAAAATGAATATTTCAAGTCTTAGTAAACGTATGGTGGCTCTATCATGATAATAATAAGTACTGGTGATTTTCCTTGTCTGATTCATGATGTGCGCGAGTCTGGATTTGTATCAAAGGCTGGAACCAAGATGTGAGACTGAAAACGATGATGTGATTTGTAGACCATTCTTAAAATATCTTTATTACATGAAGTTACTCCCGTTCTCGCAGTAATTGGAGGCGCTGTTGTACTTTCAAAAAACACTCTAGAAAATGCCATGTAGTTTATTGTTTATTGTTAATTATCTTTATTCACAAATACCAGAATAAAGAAAGAACATTGTACCCCTCACAATGACATAGAAAAATATACTTTAGGTATTATCAAAATGAATGAACAGTTTTGCAGTTAGTTTCCTTTCACATGTAACAAATGACACAGTGGATGGAAAAGGTAGTTTGTGTTTATGTTCTGTCACTCCTGTATGCTGCTCTGGGTGTGGTGAGGTCAGGGTTCATGCATGTGCCTTGGTAAAGGCAGGATTGGACACAGTTTAAATCAAAGCAATAGATTATAGAGGAAGGATGTTGAACCACTAAGGGGTCTTGACCCTCCTTTGAGTGATGGCTATGCAAATAACATTGTGGAATAGGAATAATATGTATCCAAGGAAAGCAAAATATTACCTCACTGCAGAGAAGTTTGTGTTTTACAGTGTATAACTGTTACAAAACGTGTGAAAATGTGAAAATTTACAACTTATAAATGTTTGCATTTCTGCTCCATTGTGGGTACTCTGTAAAAACACAAATCTAGTCAAGTTAAAATTTCTTGTAAAATGAGCTACCAATAGAAGAAGACTTTATGTACTTAAAATATGAAAATACATCTTGCTACATTTAAGATAAGAAAAACATCTCTTTGCACTTAAAATGAGAGACAATATCTAATGTTGCTTGAATTAAGAAAAACTCACTTGTTCTATTGGTAGATCATTTTACTTGTCAAAATAAATCTTTTCAAATAAAGTAAAATGTTAATGTATTTTAAGTCAGCTTCCATAGATATTGCTTTTTGCAATGTACAGTTGTGTTATATTTTCCTAATACTACATTATAGACCAAACTGACACCTTAAAATGGTACAAATGACAAAATAAGCCTTGGTCACATATTCAATTTATTCGTATTAGATGTAAAGGTGCACTATGTAACTCTGATGACACAAGACAGTAAAGTAAAATGCCATACTGTGGGACATTCCAAGCAGGCACTGGACCCCCCACTAAAAAGTTACATGGTGCATCTTTAAAAATTGCAAGATAAAGTTAATGCATTGGGGCCTTACTTTTATTCATTGTGTTTCTTATACTAGTATAAAAAATGATCAAACTGTTTTTTAACAAAACTATTATTGGGAGAACCATAATACTAGATTTCTATAGTGTTCTGAAGCTAAATTTTTTTAAACCACACTTATATATTAGCATTGTACAGGAAATACAATGTTATACCATTAAATAGACACACTTAATGACAGAAGGAAAGGTGCTAGATATAAATAGGGTTTGACCAGAAGAATCTACAATATTTACAAAAAAGGTAGATTTAGTGTGGAGGAATATAAAGGACTATGGTTTGCCCAGTACTTTAAGATGGAAGTAATCTGTGATATGTAAATTATATTTTTCTTCTACATTTAGTTTTCTGAAAACACGCATTTACACTTTGAAATTAACAGCTGCATGTTCAATTTTTAGGGCTTAAAGGGTCCATATTATGTTATTTTCTGATCTATCTTATAATGTTATTCCCTCATCACAAATATACTTGGGGTTCTGTTTTGTTTCATTCACACGAGCTCTTCTCGCAAACAGAAAACACTCTGTTCCACCTTGTGATGTCATGTGGTAATACAGGGAGTGCTCCAGTGTGTTTTTCAACTCAGCACACCTTCACTAAAATCATTTCGATGATTTAAGCCCCGAAATTGCCAATCTTTACTGAATTAAAGGAAAGGTTAATTTGAAAACTACCACTTCATTACATCAGAAGGTGGAACAGAGCATTTTTAGCTTTGGAGATGTAGACAGACTGATAATAAAGGGTTACTCAAATGTGAATGAAACAAAACACACTTGGCATGTTTATGAGGAGGACGTAACAACATTCTAACACGGTTTAAACCTCACAAGAGTCAATTTTGTGTAATCTAGGACATTTAACTGTTTTTCACAACATTAAAAACCAACATATCAGTAGTTGTTATTTGCCTCATGCATTTTGTTTGAACAATGTTGTATTGTTTGATGATAGCTTATTCATCCAAATTTTAAGATGGTACCAAACTTTACGGTTATACGTATAAAAACAAATGGGATACCAGAAATAGTTTGTCACTTGCAAATATGTGGTACCACGACAATCAGATTCTATACATTTAAATACAATTATAGAAAGCATATTATTGGTTACTTTACCATAAAGCATCCTTGGTAGTGAATACATTACAGATATCTTCCTACATTTACACAGATGGGCTGTACAAGGAGTCCTCTATTTAAAGGACAAATACTCAGGTGTGCTGCGTTCAGGTGTGAGGCTTAAGGGCGTGTCGGTCCCGTTTCTCCCAGAATGCACTGCGGCGACCCTTGTGCTGTGATGAGAGCGTCCTTTTATCCAGGCTGATGTCTTCTCTGTAACAGGAGATAGTCATTGTAACAGAATATGCCTTTGTTCATGATAGTAAAGAGTGATACTAGAATGATTCAGCCTAGAGCCACAGTAGCTGTCACAACACCAGGCTTCATATTCACCAATGCAGTGTAATATGGCAGTGTTAATGTAGTCGCTCTAACTCTAGGGTAGAATGTGGGTTACATTATTCGGTGTTATTTGGACCAGTGTTAATTCATTGTTAATGACACTTAACACTAGTGTAAGTTTTTTTTTAGTTCTTGGGTGTAAAACAAAACCATAAGTTTTCATTGCAACAGGTCCTTCATCACTCACTCTGTGGTGGGTCTGAAGGAGCAGAACCTCTCACACTCTGGGTCCTGTTTGTGTTTGCAGAGGCAGCGGCTCAGCTCTCTCCTCAGACGGACCGACCCAAATCCATACGGAACCACTTGGCTAAAACAGACAGAATAAAAGTTTCAGTGAAACTGTCCAACCTCCTGTGGCTAGAATCTTTAGAGGTTAAACCGTGCAAACCAACATGCTGGCAAACTTCGGAAATGAAAAAACAAAAGCATAAAACCAAGATAGTCTGGCTGCAAAACATTATCCTCATAACCTTATCACTCAGGCTCCAGCAGAATGCACCTCTAATGTCATATTCCTTAGAAAAATATTTAATTACACTTTCAATCTGTTTATGCTTTATTCTGCTTTCTATTCAAGGTTATTAAAGGAGAATGGTGAAAATTGTTTCAACAGTTTTTGGAAATGAGACATTTGGATGTTCATTTGGATTTGAGGGTACTGGACCAAGAAGCAAGAATTTATACTGCACTGAGCCAGACCAGTTACAGTTATAACTAGAGCCAACAGTTGATGGTATAAGTATAGCATTTATATGTAGATGGATGTGTGTGTAGCTGTAGGCCCCATGTCTGTTTGAGAGTAGACACAAGTATTCTAGAGTTGGGCTTGTCTGTAAGGTAAATATTATTCTCTTTTGCCAGCCAGATGCCTCTTAACTGTAAAAGTTAGTGAAGCATGTGTCTGAGAATACAGAACTAACCCTAAATTATGTTCACCTTTGACCCACACAGCAACCCCCTGGTGACAAAACATGTTCAGTTATAGCTCAGTTTTGTGCTGCTAAATTAGCATTAAGTCTGGTTATAATGTGTATGTTGAGCTGTTCCTAGTGCTGTAGACATTTCCTGTAACAGTGATTGACAAGCATGTGTGATGAAGCGTTTAAATTGTCCTTTCACTTGTTACAGTCTGTCAGTCCAGGAGGCTGTCGACGCTGACGCCCCGTGTACACTGACTGCAAGTGGAGTGTGGTTCAGAACTCACACTGGTCCCGCAAGACTTAAAGAGTCATAAAAACCAATGCTTTTTGCAACACTGATCTCTGACCTGTGTAGTCGGCCTCACTGACCTCTGACCTTTGTGTCCTCCCAAACTGACCTCTGACCTCTGTGCCCTGCCACACTGTCCTCTGAGGAGTGTGGGTGTGGTGCGGGTCTGTGGAAAGCGTCAGCAAGAAGTCTATGACTCTGAAGGGGTCTGGTTCGGTTTTCAGGCCATTACATGTGAATTATCTCGTGAATCCAGGTGGAACCACGTTGCTTTGGTCATGTGCTCACTGCAGTCATCTTAGTTGGTATAACAGGCAATCTGCAAGTAGCTGCTGTAAGTACATACTGTACCACACTTGCAGTCTGTGTAAATCCAGTGTGAAATTATAACCGTAACTCAAGGTATTGCAGTACATTATAACATGACTAAAAGCTCACAAGAATACATTATGTGTATTTTGCTATGACCTTGCTCTAGTTTTAAGTAATTATATCTTTTTCTTTTAGTCCCCAACATAAATGATCTGACCTAAGTGTTTTGACACAATAGATTGATGAATGCATTTACCAGTAGTGACACAGCAATTTAAACAATTGTTCACTGCTGTTTTGGTGACTTTTTAACATTGTTTTGGCTAATACATCTCTATTGATGATATGCACTCTTGCTACAAAAATTGCATATTTGGTTAAAAATTACATAATTGGTCATTTTCACACTATGTGGTCTCTTTCAGATGTTTGATTTCAAGCTCAGTTCTGCCTCTGTCCACCCCTTGCTGGGAAATACACAGTGTTCAAATATGTTTTAAATGCAACAGTGCTCCATGACAGCTAATATACCCATAATCCCTACAACCACACTCCAGCATTCATATGTTACTATTATGTTACTGCCACTGAGAGCCTATAAACTAAGAGACTGTGAGGCATTTAAAGGTCTATACAATTCACTTTGCAGCTGAGAGCATAGTCAAAGTGTCAAGTCAATAAGTGCATAGCTACTTCACCTAATAGACCTAAGCTACTAACAAAGCATTTAATGATTATGACTAAAATGAAAACGATTACATTTTATTAGGTATGATTTGATTCCTCCCATCGCCCTCTACTGGAACCTGTGGAAACTACATCATATATGAGTTAAACATTATTATTACTCAAATAATGTGTAACAAAAGTGAATTTAGAATCTAGACATGCAAATCCTCCAAAGTTTTTTACCTTTGACATGCATATTGCTTTAGTCACAGATCATTTTGGAAACTCAGCAGACACGCCAGGCCCTGTTTGGTCCTGTTTTAAAATGGCTGCCATCTGGCACTCATTTCTCATGTGTGTGGTGATAAACTGTTTCTTTCATCTCTGCACCGTTCTCCTGCTTCTGTCTGACCACTTTGTTTTTTTCATCTCTACAGGCTCAATCCTCGGCACTAAACTCTTCTGATCTTTACACCTTTTGACACAGGGTAGCTTCTAAATGACATTTTAAATAAAGCATGTTTACTTGATGAGGTCAGCAGTGAAGCGCATTATCTGACCTTTATTACAAGCTTCTTATGGATTGACTTATTTTACAAGCTTTGACTGGTTAGCATAAACTCTGATCTCTTGGTAAAGTGTGAAAAACATACGCCGGAATCACACATCTCGGAATTGTTTGCTTATTTCTTCTCTCAAAATTGCTCTCTCTGCAAATGTTTTGTGGAAAGATTCACATTTACATACATTTTGAGAGGCACAGTGCCCATTCGAAACAATAGTCTGCGGGCTCTCTTGTGAAAGTAGTCTGCAGTGATGTGGAATAAATGGTTTAGATAATGACAAAGACAAACTGAAATGTGTGTGGTTGTGGTTTAATTTACGACGTGAAAGTCTGCGGAGGTCACTGCTCTGAGACCCCAAGAGAACTGAGAAACTACTACTGGGACTATACTTGTGTTTATTCAGACCCCAGGGAAGTTAAAGGGCTTGTATTATAAAAAATATATACTTTCATGAGCTTTTAGCTGTTATATTAGTGTTCTCACATCATAAAGTGAGTGCTCAGAAAATGTCTGTTTTAACCAACCCCATATCTCCTACTACTTCTCTGTACTTTTTATATTAAAACATCTGACTGAGTGGCACATATTGCAACAATAAAAGCAGGCAAATGAAAACCCACTGTTTGATACAGTGAAAGAGTATGAAGAGGTGGAGCCTATCAGTTCTGCAGGAACTCAGTAAACCTGTTCCGATTATTTTCGGTCGATGAAAGCAGAGTGCACCTGGAGGAAACCCACCCAGACAGACAGATAGAAAGAAACATGCAACCTACGCACAAATGCCTGGGCCAGCTATTAAAGGCAGAATTAACTCCTGTGAGCTTGTTCTGTCTTCAAAAACATACCTGGAGTTGTGTTTTGTTTCATTTACACACGTTCTGTTCCAGCTTTTACCTTTCATTCAGTAGAGATGGGTAAATCCAGGGCTGAAATCATCCAAATGATTCTAATGAAGGTGTATGGAGTTTAAAAACACAGTGGCGCACTTTCTGTATTACCACATGCCATCACAAGGGGAATTTGAAAAAAAGAACAAAATATGCAGGGTTTATGTGTTTTCTCTTTCCTGTAGATTATCTGGCATCAATCTGCTGAGAAACTGAAGATTTAAATTAGCCACGTTGTCTATAATCTTTACATATTTACATTTTAAAGGTTAATTAATATGTGCTGTCCCTTTACGAATAAATAAAATGAGAAATAAGAAACATGTGTCACTGAAACAAAACACAACTCCAGGTATATTTGTGATGAGGAAACAACATTATAACACAAATCAGAAAAAGTGTAATATGGGCCCTTTAAGAACAGAAATAGACAACTTCTAGGTACACAGAAACAGTCTTATTATCGGTCTTTGCTATACTCATTATCATCATTATCAAAAGCCCAAATCTATTTCAGTCTCTACATTCACATTTACATGTTTTACCATCAACACTTACCATGTATTTTTAGCTCAAATCACCACGACTCTTTCAGTAGTGGTGGTTACTCACAACTACCACTTCCACTCAAAACTTTTTAAGCATCTTTATATCAATATATTTTTAGACTAAACTAACAATTTAAAGAAAGCTATTCCCGTCAGATAATTACATTGAATGATATATTTCAAGTAGCAATTGTGTCATTAGGTAACACTGAAGATAGTAAAACCTGAACTGCGTCTATTTTTAAGGTGAGATATTTCTGTTTGTGTAGTTTTGCTTAATTACATGTATTTATCCCCTAACTGGCAACAGGCCAATCAGACGGTGACCACATAGCTCTGAAATGCTTGTGGTTTTGCCCTTTAGTTCCTGTTAATGTATTAAAAGTGAGGATTTGGGAAAAGTCCAGGATAAAGACAGTGTAAATTACAGTTCGTTAGGCCCTGGGTGCTTTACAATTAAAGCCCCCACATCTGAGCACTCACTCCTCACTTCTGCTCATGAGACTAAATTAACTTAATTACTACCAACAGTGAAAAGGGGCAGTAGTATCTGAAATACTGAAAAAAAGCAATTTAAATGTGCATTATGTATCATTTGAAATAATAAAATCAGTTTAAACTAATTTTACTAATGTTTTATTTTAGCAGAATGTGCAGGCCCTGTTTGTGTATAGAGCCTGTTTCAATGGAGTTTGGATCCTCTTCTATTTGTGTAGTCTGTCTGATTTTGTATAAGACTGAAGCGATTGATTTTGTTTGTATTGTGATTTTAATTTCTTGTTTTGTAAAGTATACTCTGTGAGTTATACTTTGTATACAAATGTGCTATAAAATAACTTGCCTTACCCTGTCAAATCAGAACATGTAGCCAACAGTAGACCTCCATCTGTGTACTGACCCTCCAGACCTTGACACAAAATCAAATCATATAAGAATTTGTATATGTTGTAGATTCATTGCTCCAGTAGTTCGTTTGTCTACATCATACAAATTACCCCACTGTTGTTAAAGTGAACAGAACAGAAGTTCAAAACATTCATGATGAAGATAGAAATGTTTTATGCCATGATGTGGAATATTATGTTATGTTATTGTATTATTATTTCATGGAAACAAGCTGGAGGAGACCCTCCTCTGAGTGAAGATGCAAGCCCAATCAGAGATAGGATTCATGTTTTTGTGTTTTTTAATGCTATAAAACCATCCATAATCAAAAAACAAACATTTGTTTTTGTATATTTCTCAGCAAAAAAGTTGCAATAGCTTTAAGCAAATATGCCCCCAAAATTAAAAATGGCCCTGATCTCAACCAGTCATGCACAATCAACTTACAAATGCACTCACTCTCCCCTCCTCCCCTCTGTTGTATACACATGCCCTCACTGCAATCTGCCCCTTCAACTCCTTAGCAACCCAACCACCAGCCACCTCAGCCCCCCTCCACTCCTCCTCTTCACCACCAGTCTAGGGCCCTAATCTATTCTGCTTTCCCTTCTTTGCATATCTAATGTACCCGCAGGCGATCCAATACAGTAATTCACTCATTTGTCTCAGTCTGGTTGAAACTCAATTTGTAAAAGTGAAAAATATCTCTGGCTTTTTTATTCCGTAATTCTTGGGTAAAACTTGGAACCATGACAATCAAAACAGACTCAGCTCTCTTCAGTTGAGTGCCATTGACAATAATTATGGTAGGTTTAAACCGCAATTTTATTGATATTTGAAATGTTCTGTCTGGGATTCTTAAAGATTGATGAAATCTATCATGTTGTGGTGTGTAGACCAAATATTATGTAAGATGTAGCTTTCTTTTCACTGGTGAAATTGCGCTGCTGTGGAATAGTAACTTTTAACACACTGAGGGAAAGAGACAGTTAAAAATGTCTGAGCTAGGATGTAAATTACAACAATGAAAACACAGATGAACACAAAATCAACAAAAACTAGATTTACTGAGGCTATTTTCCAATCTTACCAGCATCAGGGGTCTTCTACAGTCTCAAACTCAGTTATCGGTCTCATAGGGTGCAATAGTAATTTAGTAGTAACTTGTGTTGCATAACTTTTCTGGAGACTACGCCATCTGCTTGTTTCTATGGATCGCTCAGTCTGGGATGTTCCACAGTATGACACTAAACAGCTCTACCTTACATTTGTTCAATTACAGTGGTTTTATAGCTCAAAAAGATGCAGAAAAACATAAAAGACATTATGACTGAGCTGGGATGCCTTTCCACAGATCTGGCCTGTAACTTGGTCTGGTTTGGTCTTCATGAAGATAGAAAGGTTTAATACCATGTTGTTGTAAATATTATTTCATTTGGACACCTCACCACGCTTCCAGTTTTTGTTCCACACCCGGTCTTTTTCCAGTTACAGTGCCACTCCCTAAACCCCCGTGGCACGTGACAGATTCGGGGCTCGTTCAGGATTAAAACCCACATTTTTGCTTAAGCTAAAATATTATTTTGACAAATGGGTCCTCGTGGTTAATCTTTGGGCCATTTGTTTATTACTTTGGTCATCCGGTCAGTATGCCTTCTCTGGTAGGTGATATAAGGATCATCTGTTTAGCATACTTTGGTGATAGTGGAGCTAGTTTGTGCCAACTACTTATTGTTTGGAGTTCCACATGTTTATTTGGTGATGCTTTAGCTTTTTAGTGCTCATTTTGTTTCCATTTCCATTTGGTATACTCGGTTAGGTCCAGTTTTGTGTGTATAGTCTTTAGTTTGTCATGACCATTTGTTTAGCCTTTTGTTTTGGAGTCTACCCCCAGTAGGCTTATGCCACAGTTTCTGTATATGGAGCCTGATGGTTTGGGTTTATGTGGCTGTCAGTGTGGCTGGAGCTATACACTCAGAGCTGATCAGCTGGGCAAAAATGAAATGGGTGGAGGCAAGGACAAACAAGACAAGATAGGACATTATCAGTCACACTGTGAAACAATCCAGACTAAATAATATCATTTTCATGGAGAAAAGCATTTGATGAACCCTCCACTAGAAAAGTTACACAATGCACCTTTAAGTCAGTTGCTCTTCCTTCAAACGAAAAAAAAAAGAGACAGTGCAGCGCAACCCCCTTGGAATTATATTGAGCTCTAATGGTTCAACTTGTGGCTTAATGGTATTTCTTATCCATAAGCACATTCACATCTCTTAAAACTATTGAACATTAATCTCAAAACCTCATTTACAATGCAGTCACAAACTCTGGAAGTAAAGGGTCTTGCTCAAAGGCACAACCAACTGGCAACATTTATACTAACTATCCTCCTGTCAGTCAAGTACTAGACTCTTTACACAAGAAAATAAAGTCAATATAGAATCCTGTTTTAGCCTTCCATAACACATACTTGGACCTGGTTTGTTTTTTAGATCTGATATGAAGAAATAAGCTACTCCTGTACTATGATCTTTGTCCAGTTTTTGCTTTTGCGACTAGCCAAATAGTTTATCTGTTTTTAAAATCAGCTGAAATGTGTGAACGCCTCATTCTTCAGTAATACAACTGGGTATGCGTATCTGAAGCCCTCTTTATCATATGGAAACACAGTACTTTGCACAGTAGGTAACAGGGCGGGTCTGGTTACATTGAAAACATCATTTGGAACTGTATTTGACAACAGGGAAATAGTTTTTGGCTCACCTCGGGGTGTTGACCCAGACGATGCCGATGTGGCAAAAGAAAATACATTCTTTGTCTTTCTGGTTCTCACATGAGCAACGTTTCTCTCGACGATGGGCCATGTGGCGGAGCTGCGTCAGGGGGCCCTCCTCTGTGCTGGGGCCTGGTGTGGAGCTGCTTTCACCTGAGGATTTAGAATAGACAGTTATTTGGACTTACTGTTGAATGGTCAAGTAGACAGAAATTCTTACATGTTTTTGTGTGTAGTTACTTCATACATTGTCATCAACTATAGCTTCTTGGTAATAAGATAAGATAAGAAATTTCAGAGTTGCAATGCACAGTTAAAGATAGTGATAACTGAAGTTTAATTATTAATTGCACATTTAAAGGTCCCATATTGCACTTGTGTGTTTTATGCAATGTTATAATGCCCTTAGCTCATCAAAACATACCTGGAAATGTGTTTTGTTGAATTCACACAAGTAGCTTTCAATTTAATTTCCAGGGCTGAAATTATCCAAATGATTCTAGGGAAGGTGCATGAAGTTTAAAAACACAGTAGAGCACTTCTTGTATTACCACATGACATCACAAGATGGAACAGAGTATTTTCTGTTTGAGAGAAGAACACAGCTTAAATATGCAGTGTTTGTGTGTTAAACATGTGTGAACGAAACAAAACAGAATCCAGGTATGTCCGTGACGAGGAAGCAACATTAAAACATATATTGATCAGGAAATAACCGACCAATGATAGTTGACCAAAGTGCTTCACTAGAAATACAATAAAGACAATGAAGTACAATTCTAGCACAAATACTACAAAACACTATAAAAGTAAGCAAAAGGTCATAAAATACAAAGAAATTCTGCCTAGCTAGAGCAGGTTTTCAGTCTACACTGTAAAAACTAAAACCTAGCCAAGCTAAGATGACTTGAATTAAGACATTTTTTATCATGATTTGGGTAAATTTCACTTGACAAGTAAAATTATCTGCCAATGCAACACGACTTTTTGTACTTAAAATATTACACTATAACTTGCTACACTTAAGATAAGAAAAACAACAACTCTTTGCACTTAAAATAAGAAATGAAATCTAATGTTGCTTGAATTAAGACAAACACACTTATTCCATTGGTGGATAATTTTACTTGTCAAGTTGAATCGACTCAAATAAAGTCAAATGCTCTTAATTTAAGTCAATTTAACTTACCTAGATATTGTTTTTTGCAGTGTAGACTTCAGCTTTGTTAGAGAGAAAGATGTATGCAACCCTGATTACATCTTCTACAAAGATCAAGGAACTACTTTGTCATGATACAAATTCCTTCAGGGGATCTTGCCCAAGACCCACTGGCTTCAAGGCTTTGCCACCAAGAGATTTGATTTGAACTGACTGATTTGAATTATAAAGCATTCAGTCAAGGTTTATCTTGATTTAGATGTAATCAAAACCAAAACCTCAGCCATGATTCACTGTTGTGTCAAGACCACAGTCAGAATCAGAGAGCAGAGAGCAGAGTCTAGAGACCAATTCACAACATTCAGACCTCCACCACAACCTGAGGAGCTTTGTGCCAGAGGAACTGCCTCCACTTCAACAGTTATTCAAAGCTGGAAATGTAGCTCTGTTATAAATTGAACAGCTTTTCCCATGACTGTGCACACAAGTGTAAGCTGGTCTAATAGCTTTGATCCAGGTCTGAGCCCACTCGACGGAAGGGGCTACAGGAGGATTTACCACATATTGTCCAGCTCCCATACCTTTACATGGACAGGAGGCACTCTGGGGGATGATAAGCTCACGTGCACAAGCTTTCACCATGAAAAATTATTACATGAGGCATAAAATTTCTATAAATCATCATAAATCTAAACAATAGGTTGAAGGTATGTAACTGAAATGACTAAAATAACATTCAGCTTGATTTGGAAATTGAAAAACAATACAAAACAGGTGCACATAATCTTTTTCTGGCAGACTTAGCTTTCATTTAATCTGTTTGTCTGTCAAATAGTCAGGTGATTAAATCAGGCTATAAAAGTGAACGTAAAAGCAACAAAAGAACAACAAAAATGGTTCAAGATAGTGACGTGGACTGGGTTTTTGAAATCCAGATGTTTCTATCATTGTAAAGCAACCTTAAACCACAGATGAGCAATTACATTTTTCAAATATTAGCTGTACAAAGCTTTTAATGCACTATAATTATGTGTCTATGCATTTAAAGAAATACATTTAAAGGACAATAATACATTATATTATATTGTTACTGGCCCTTAAATATTCTTGAGTATCTTCGCTCTGGCATCTCATGTTTTATAACTTAAAATAATGGCTACTTAAATAACCACACAGAAGAGAGATATACCATTTGGGGAAACATTTAACAAGCTAATAATTGACATACTCCGAAACACTCAGTTAGACATGCAGTTGTAGTGAATGTAACATGATGGTTGCTTTGAACGTGATGATTTATGGACTTAAAACTATTCAGGGTTTCTACCTGTGACGCAACAATCCAAGAAAAATTTTAACTAAATCAAGAAGTACCGAAATGTGAATGAACCAAAATACAAGTCAGGTTTATTTGTTGAGGGAACAATTGTATAGCATAGTAAAAAGCTTTAAAAGGCCATTGCATAATATTTGTCCAAAAGATGCACGGTGAAGTCTGAATGCACACGAGAACAGGTTTGGCAGCAATAGAGTCTATATGAATCAGATGCTACATACATTAAAGCCACATGTATGCTCTGTGGTATGTGCATGGGTGGAGAGCATGTTTATTGATGACAGACACTCCATAAAGACTGAGCAGGATTTCAGTGGAGCCATGCTGTCAGTGAAAAAACCCAGGCTAACCTCAAACCAATGGGGAGTGGACAGACGGATGGACTGAGGGAGGGTGCAGATGTAGGGGTTAGCAGAGCACACAAACAAGCAGATGGGAAATGAAAACGGATGGAAATGTAATTACCAGTTACAAATGTGGGAATCTAGTGCTTAATCAATTTATTAATGCATTTTTAAAGGTGCTCTGTTTACTTTTTTCTGGTGGAGAGTATATCACCATGGTTGTCTCCATGTCTTTGTCTGAAATGTTCCAATTACAAGACAGAACTGTGGAGAGGCAAGCAATAAAAATAGCAGTAATGGATTAAATTCAAGATAGATAAGTTCAATGTCATAAGGTGGAGAATTAAGGAAAAGTAAACCTATGTTCAGCTCAGCTCTGCTCCCTCTTCACCACAACAGTTCAATACAGCGACTGCATCACTGCAGACTCTGCATCGATCCGCCAGTCAATCTCATGCTCCTTCGTCCGCTCACTCGTGAACAAGACCTTGAGATACTTGAACTTCTTCACTAGAGGCAGGGACTCCCCACCTGGAGAGGACAAGCCACCTTTTTCTGGTCTAGAACCATGGCCTCGGATTTGGAGGAGGGGATCTTTATCCCAGCCACTTCACTCTCGGCTGCAAACTGCCCCAGAGCAAATTGTAGGTCCCTGCCTGATCAAGCCAACAGGCCGAAAGCCAAAGCTCTTGATTTAGTGGTCAATTTACATTCCTACCCTCACCTATGGTCATGAGCTTTGGGTAATGATCAAAAGGACAAGATCGCGGATACAAGCAGCCGAAATGAGTTTCCTCCACAGGGTCACTCTGCGCTCCCTTAGAGACAGGGTGAGGAGCACAGTCACACAAGAGGAGCTAGGAGTGGAACCACTGCTCCTCCACGTAAAGAGGAGCAGCTGAGCAGGCATTTGTTCTTGATGGCTTCTGGGTGCCTCCCTAGGGAGGTGTTCTGGGCATGTCCCACCAAGAGGAGGCCCTGGGGAAGACCCAGGACATGCAGGAGGGACTATGTCTCTCGGTTGGCCTGGGAACACCTTGGGGTACCCCCAGAGGAGCTGGAGGAAGTGTCTGGGCTGAAGGAAGTCTAGGAGTCCCTGCCTAGACTGCTGCCCCCGTGACCTGGCCCCGGATAAGTGGAAGAAAATGTATGGATGGTTGAATAAACGTATGTTCACAGAGACAAACAGGTGGTACATCCTGCACCAGAAAAGTTACATAGTGCAAGGAGCAGTGCTGAGGGGATCTTGTGGGGACACTAACCTCACCTAGAATGGACAATGCACCCCATAGCTCCCCCATAGATTTTTACCCCATTTTCATTGGACATTCAATCTCAACAATAAGAATGTTCAAATGGCAATCACAAAGTGTTCAAAATGAGACAACAATAAAACAATAATTCCATAGTAGGTTTTATAAATCACTACAGGGACTAACTACATTTAAACTGGTTTAAAAGCAAACAGGCCTCCAACCAAATGTCTGCCGTCCCTGCATAGTGCGCTTTTCAGACAGATTAAAGATGTTATGGATTCAGTATTAACACATCAAAGAAATTCATGGGTCATCTCAGAACCACACAAATGACTGAATCAACATTTGAGGCATTGAACACTGTTAAACTGAGATAAGAGAGAGTTTCAAGTACACTGTAAACAATACATTAGAGCTTTTCAGGGATGCTCTACAAATAAGCAAATGTGACTGGACAACTGGTAACTTTTGGTAGAAGTGCTTTGCTGTGAGGAGGGCTCCAAGCCAGCCATGCTTTAATAAATAAATAAATATATAGATATAGAAGATATCGAAAAGTGGAGCGACTGTCTATAGTTCACCCATGATTTTCAAAGATGACCTTATTAAAATAAACCAAAAATGGGATCAACTTAATGTAAAATTGCTGTTATCTTGCTGCAGACTGAAGGTCATTCTGCAGGTAAACTCATTTCCTGAAATGTACCCATCTTAACTAAACAAACAGTTCTCCCCTTGCTGAGACATATTTGTGACTGTCCAATCAAAACTGCCGGGGGACTTTCTGTTCTTAATTCATTGGACACAGAGATGACTCGCTTCTTATACATACTCACCCAGTGCCTTTGTGAAAACAGCACGAATGCTCAGCTCTCTCAATATCCTGAACAGTGAACTCATAGGCAACAGGAGCTGGTTAGCTAAACAATCTAGGTCATGACTCTATTACCCCCATTATCTATATGAAGAGCAACACTATGGACGACACTCAACAACATTCAGATATTGGATTTTGCTACATGTTTTAGACTCTTTTACAGATTCAGTTCTCTTGGATC